TATTGATGTCATAGAGAAGTGTCTTGTCATGGTGGCCAGTAAGTAGGCCTGGTGTTCAAGCAGGGACCCCGGAGGCTTGCCAGGGGCTGCCATCTGCTCAGAGACCAAGATTACAGGAGATTTTTCAGCTGCTTTAGGAGGTTTTGCAGAGTTCCCAGAGCTGGCAGGGCGCGTCAGGGTGGGTGTGTCTGGGCTCAGCCCAGAGCGAGAGGACAGGGCATAAGGCTGTGCAGAGTCCCGAGTGGGAATGAATGCAATGTTCAGATTCCAGCTGAGAGGGCAGGACAGGCTTCTCTTTGTTCCTCCCCCACTGTTCTCCACTGTGCCTGAGCTCAAGGACTGCAAGAGGCCAAAAGAGCAGTTTAGAGAGAAAAGCGGAGGCTGTTAGCATCCCCAAAAGGTGACCACGGGAGTCGGACACGGTGGCGCACGTCTTTAAGCCCAGCACTCAGGAGGCAGAGGCAGGTGGATTTCTGAGTTTAGGGCCAGCCTGGTCTACAGAACAAATCCCAGAACAACAGACAGGGCTACACAGAGAAATCCTGTCTTGAAAAACAAAAACAGCTAGGCGGTGGTGGCACTCCCCTTTAATCCTAGCACTCGGGAGGCAGAGGCAGAGGCAGGTGGATTTCTGTGAGTTTGAGGGTGGCCAGCATGGATTGCAGAGCAAGTTTCAGGACAGGCTCCAAAGCTATACAAAGAAACCCTGTCTCCAAAAACAAACAAACAAAAAAGAAAGAGAGAACAACAGGTCAAACAACAACAACAACAATAACAGCAACAAGAAGACAGCCATAGGGGGAAATGTTTGCTGCATAAGATGAGTTGGCTTCCCAACACCCACATCAAATTAAGGTGTATCTATAATTCCTGCACTAGGAAAGTAGAAAAAGGAGGTTCTTGGGAGTTCATGGGGCAGGCACCCCAGCTAAATCAGCAAGCTCCACGTTCATTGACAGACTCTGTCTCAAAAAATAGGATGGAGGGTGGTTGAGGAAGACGTTCGACATTGACCTCTGACTTCTACACGCAGGCACACATCTGTGCAAGCACAACCTATTCATATGTACACACATGTGAACAGAGTCACACATACGGTGGCCACAGTGGCAGTTAACAATCTTTTCAGAGGACCCAGGTAGGCAGACCTTCTCCCTCTTGCCCTGTAAAGTGGGAACATAAAAATGAAGTATGGAGATCTGAGTGTCTCGCCAACGCCTCACTGTGTGACTGCGGCAAGTCCATTTCCCCTTTGGGTTCTGAGCCTTTTTTTTTTTTAAGATTTATTTATTTATTATATGCGTAGTGCTCAGCCTCCATGTATGCCTGCAGGCCAGAAGAGGACACCAGATCTCATTACAGATGGTTGTGAGCCACCATGTGGTTGCTGGGAATTGAACTCAGGACCTCCAGAAGAGCAATCAGTGCTCTTCACCTCTGAGCCATCTCTCCAGCCCGGTTCTGCGGCTTTGAACAGCTTTCCATGGGCTTCATGAAAGGCTAAAGAAATTACAGGGGTGGGACTGGAGAAATGGTTCAGCGGTTAAGAGCACTGACTCTTCTTCCAGAGGTCCTGAGTTCAATTCCCAGCAACCACATGGTAGCTCACAACCATCCATAATGAGATTTGGTGCCCTCTTTTGGGGTACAGGTACACATGCAGGCAGAATACTGTATATGTAATAAATAAATATCTTAAAAATAATAAACTTAAAATAATAATAAATAATCTTTTAAAAAAAGAAATTGTAGGGGTGAATAGGTAAGAAAATATGAATTCCAAGACCACAACTCTTTGTGTGTGTGTGTGTGTGAATGTGTGTGTGTGTGGCTAAATTCAGGGTTTTATACATGCTTGGTACACAATCTACAACCAAGCTAACCTAGCTCCAGAGGCCTCACTTTTCACGACTCACGCGGAGTGACTACAGCGTACACTAACACTGCTGTGAGCATCTTCGAGGTTCCCTGAGGTCCTTCTTACAGCAACCTGAAAATGGGGCTACACCACTGCTTACCAAATATCCCTGGCTCTCCAGGTCTCAGGATGTGGTAGGACTTTACAATGTTCGTGTAATGGGTGGGTCAACCAGCTAGTTTTGGCCAGAGTTGTAATTAGACCAAAGCCTTTAGCAGCTGGCAAGGGGGTCACTAATCTTCAGTTTGTGGCAATACTGGCAATGCTCTGGAAGGCTCTATCGGGTCCTAGGGTGAAGATGACTTAGTTGGTCCACAGTGTTGTGGACAAGAGGCGTAAGTGAGAAGCCAGCTCTTGGTGTTATAAGCCTCGTGGATTTTGGAATGGTGTGTTACCTACACTGTCTAACCCAGCCCCTATTACAGCACAAATTGGAACTTAGACGAAGTTCCAAAATCACATGGCTGAAGAATCCCATGTTTGAGAGATCTCATAGCATGTGCCTCTTGTCAGGGAGGCCACTATAACGCTTGGAGTGGAGGTCTCTGTCCTTGTCTAGGTCTGTCTTTGATGGGAAGACGTAGATGGAAAGGAGGGCATTGCCACTTTTGGCCACTAGAGGGCAGCTAGACCCAAGTTTGCAATTGTTGGACAAGTGGTGACCTCTAAGCCCCAGACTCTAAAAACTGTGGGTGGCCACCAGGAACTGAATGTGGGGGCAGTGAAAACTGGGCAACAGTAAAAGGTGTCTGAGTGCACAACCACCAAAAATTAATTCAAACTCGACATGAATCTGTGGTGTTTCTGCCAACTCCTGTGTGATGGCTGTGTCTTGGTAGCGAACATTCAAAGTTCATAACCAGCTTTGGCCTGCACATACCAGCACTCCACATACCACCAATGAATGCCATCTAAAATATCACAGAGACTATGGAATATTATAAACTGCAGTGCTTTTACTGCTATTGTAGAAACATAATGGCTTTACAGCGGAAAGTGAAGGCGGTATTTTCCCACTGTCCATCTTCACTATCTAAGTAGGAAACGAGTTCAGGCCGTAGAGGTGCACAAACTGGGTGTGGTTGTCCTCCGTTAGCGAGGCCTGAGGAGCAGAAGTTCAAGGTCATTCTTGGAAGTTTAAGGCCAACTTGGTGTAGTGAGACCCCGTGAAAGACACACTCCTGTTTTCTGTTGTGTCTGGAGTTTCATAAGAGTCATTAAGGGGGCCGGGTGGTGGTGGCGCACACCTTTAATCCCAGCACTCAGGAGGCAGAGACAGGCAGATCTCTGTGGGTTTGAGGCCAGCCTGGTCTACAAGAGCTAGTTCCAGGACAGGCTCAAAAGCTACAGAGAAACCCTGTCTCGAAAAACCAGAAAACCAAAAACCAAAAACCAAAAAAAAAAAAAAAAAAAAAAAAGAAAAGAGTCATTAAGGGAAATAATTTGACTTGGGAGTAGGGACGGATTTCTAAGAATTTTTGAACACATTCCTGTCATTATTATACTTTTGATTTATGCAAAGTGGCATTCTCAGTATTGTTAATTATAAAATTTAAATATCCTCCAGGCATGGGGGTGCACTCCTTTAATCCCCAAACTTGGAAGGCAGAGGCAGGCAGATTTCTGTGACCTTGAGACCAGTGTGGTCTACAGAGTGAATTCCAGGGTAGCCAGGGTTACACAGAGAGAAACACTGTCTCAGACAAAAACAAACACCAAACCAAAACAACAACAACAAAACAAAATAGCCATCAATTCTACAAACCCTGAAGATGCTTTACATTCTCTGGTACTAAGTAAACAGCTAAGATTTAGTTCTTTTGTGAAAAAAAACAAGCATATCCATCTCATTAATATGCAAATGTACCTTTTGTCTTTAACAAATGGTAAGATTTTACGTGTACCAAAGAATTGTTTTAAAAAGAATTTCTTTTTCAAATTAATGATATTCTTTTTTTGTGTAGGGATTGAACTCAGGGTCTTAAAGCATGCTAGTCGAGGGCTCTACTACACTCCACCTCAGGCAAGATGAATTTCTCTGAATTATTATTAGTAAGTCCTGGGTTCACATACTTACATTATATACCTGTATCCATGAGGTTGATCATAAGTTTCTTGCCTACAGGGGCGTAAGGTGGAAAAATTATAAACGGTTTGCTCGCAGCCAGCCAACAGTGGAGAGGGAGAAAAGAGGCAGCCCAGCAAGTGGAAGACAGAGACAGATGAGACTTAGGCACTGTTCTGAATGGAGGGAGGAGTGGGGAGTCTAGACCTCCATGTGGGGAAAAAAAGCACATGAGAAATCTCTAACTAGAAAGACAGCTGAGACCTAAGAATCCGTCCACCCCCTCGCCCCAGACAGGGTTTCTCTGTGTAACCCTGGCCGTTCTGGAACTCACTCTGTAGACCAAGCTGACCTCGAACTCAGAGATCTGCCTGCCTCTCCTTCTGGAGTGTTGTCCAGCCTATCAGCCAGGAGTCTTAGGGTGAGTGGTCAGGCACGGAGAACCCAGCACTCTTGACTTCAGGGCTGCTTGGTCACCAGGAGGTGACGCCGTGGAGCATGGTGGACCCCACAGAGCTTGCCCCTCCTCCTGACTGTCCAGGCAGATTTTGTGTCCCTCCCCTAGTCATGTCTTTCTTTCCTCGGGGCCTCAAAACATGTGCGTGTAGGGGAGAACTCAGACAGTGCCCCTCCCCCCTCCACTGTGATTTCTCGCAGGTTGCCCTGGTAACCGGAGCATAACCAGCTTTGGAAACCTAAAGCTTGAAAGAAGAGAGAACAGAATAAGAGGCCCTAGGCCCGCATAGCCGCCATTCAGTCGTGATACAAAACCACGACACTGAGTGACTCTTGCCAGGCCCTTGGGCCCAGAGAAGACGAAGGGCCAGGTCTTTCAGAACTGGGCTGTCCAATCTAGTAGACACACATTCGGATGACATCAAGTCAAAATATTCAGGTCCTTGGTCATCAGAGAATAATGGTGAGGGCTCAGGAGCCACCCCGTGGCTAGTGGCTATTTTATTGGGCAGTTGAGATATAGAACATTTCCATTATCACAGAAAGTTCTATGGGCCAGGTCAGAAGCTCACTCGCCAAGGAGAGCAGCACATAGGAAGGCAGGCCAGACCTCACAGCGTTGTGGGGTACAGCGTCCTCACTGGCAAGAAGCAAGCGGCAAGGTGATGATTAGAGGCGGTGCCGGGGGAGTTTCGCTTAGCTCCTGGTTCAGAGGGAGTGTCTGGGGGTTGTCCGTGTTGTGTGCACTGTGCCTGACGGTGTGAGGATCTGTTTATACCTCTGAGCAGACTTTAAGCTCCCCCCACCTGACTCAGTGCCTGGCACAGAGTAAGGTCCTGGCCTATGGTGGCTCTTCCCTCCACCATCCTTATGACACCACCATGTGACAGAGGCAGCCCAGTGCTGGGGGACACATGAAAGGTACCAACCCCAGTCCAGGGGCCGGGAGCTGCTGAGAATCTGCCTCATCAGGGCCAGCTTGGGTGGGTTTGTGGATTTCTTTGAGGTCAGGTCTGGGGCCAGTTACCTTCATACCCTGAATTTTAGTCTAGGATGAGTCTGAAGCAAACTGGATCTCAGAGAATGGTGGTGAAGGGTACAGACGCACACTCAAAAATTCCGGCTTGAGGCAAGATCTCAGGCGCATGGTCACAGATGGCCCCAGGGTCACCGAACTCATAGGGGGTTGCAGAGAGAAGGCAGGAGGGAAGTTGACATGGGGCGAAAAGAGTGACATCATCGTTGGAGTAACCCTGTTCTCTCTTACTGGTGAGAAAACTGCTCAAGGGGCCAGTCTTGGAGACAAGAACACACGGGTAGGTGGAACGCCAGGGCACCCCCTCCCTCGTGGCCCTGTGTTCAGGGCAGCTCAGCTGGCTGCCTCCCATAGCTCTGTGGGATTCCAGAGACTCAGAGCAACCATTCACTGCCACCCACACTCCAGTCAGATCTTCCCTGCCCAGCGCCCAGCCCAGCTGCTGCGCTTGTAGCTAGAGGGCCAAGGCAGGAGAGAGCTGGGTCCCTCAGTTTGTGGACTGTGACTGGGATGTTGAGTGAAAGTCCCCCAAGAAGACCCAGGAAAAGAGGTCTCTGAGTCAGGCCACATGGCTGGCCTCTGGGTGCAGTGGAGGGGGTGGGGTCTACAATTGGTCCAGTTTCCCTGACTGAAAACTACCGGCCCCTTTTCTGTCTTCTGATCAAGGTAGGTGTGTGTGCGTGCGCGCGCGTGCGTGCGTGCATATGTGTGTGTGTGTGTGTGTGTGTGTGTGTGTGTGTGTGTGCACCTGCACATTGGGAAGGATAGGACCAAGGTGTTCGTGGCACATGGGGCTCAGTGAGGAGCTAGGGATATGGTGACGTAAGAACAAAGTGATCTTAGGGCGTGTGGCCAAGGGCAGTGTGACCATGGTGTGCCCAGGGGCCTGTGGTGTGAGCAATGGGAAAGAGGTCAGAGCTGCCAGGCTGTGCACAATGAGGATTGCCCGGGCTTCCAGCCTTTGCTGTCTCCTGTTCCAAACTTCAGAGAGATGGCTATGACATCACCCTCCTCCACCAGTCCCTTACACTCAGGTAATTCTTCCCACCAGCATTGGCCTGGTTCCCCAAGCAGGCTTGTGGTGTTGAAAATAACGGAAATAACTTTGTTCCTGAGGCTGAGTTCTGGGCAGTTCAGAGAGGTCACCAGTTAGCCACCCGGGGAACCCTGGAGACCACCTCAGGGAGTGTGGTTCATCTAACCAGACTACCTGGCAGCGTGGGCGTATCGGCCTGGGTATTCCCTTCTCTCTCAACTCCCTGTCCCCAGGCAGCTTTCTCCCACCCTGTCCCTGAGCTACCTCACAGTCTACAGAGCCCCTTTTCAGTCACACCCTGCAGATTGCCTCCTGTCAATCCAATTTCCAACAATCTCCCTTTCAACCTGCCTTTGAATGGCTGTTCCTAACAACAGACAGGACCAGGTTGACTTGCAGGACACCCCCCGCCCCAGTTTACCTTCAGCCTTATCTCCACCCTGCCAGGCACAGCGGGAGCCCCCGTGCTGGGTTCTCAGAAGATTTCACTTTCTCACGTTTGGGCTTAGGAGCTGCCCAATGCCAGGTACAACTGACCTCCAAATTGACTCAGGCTTTTCCCAGATGTCTCTCCCACCACTAGTCCAGCCCAGGAGTTCTTTCCTAGTTTGCTGCAGAATCCTCTTCCAGGAGGGTCCCTGCCTATGTATGCAACCTCCGCAGAGCTGTCCAGAGACAACAGTCAACACTCAGACCCAAGAAAAGAGAAAGCTGAACCCCATCCTGGGTTCTCTCATGCCAGGGGCAAGTTGCTCATCAGTCGAGTCTACAGTGGGCTGCTGAAGGGGCAGGTGTGTGAGGTGCAGGTCAGTCTGTAGTAGGTGGAAGCTGTTGGCTATATAGGAGAACACACACTCTACTAAGGACTCAACAAGCCTCCAAATAAGTTTCCTTCAGGTTGCTAGCGCCATCTGCTGGTTGGGAGGAGGATAGTTGAGACCTCATCCTTGTCTGCCCTCCTCTCTTGTGATTGCCTCAGGGAAAGCTGAAGAGCCCGGATGGACCACGACTTTGCACCTCCTCCTCCAGAGATGCAGCCACACAGGGCTCCAGGTCCCAGATCTTCTTTCTCCCGCAGCCACATGCTGGGGCGCCACACCCACCAAAAGCTCACCAGAGATGTGTCCCCCCTTATCCCCGTCATCAAGAAGACTGTCCACTTGAATGCCTTCCCCCAAGGCAATGTCCTACAGACTTCCAGTCAGCCAAGCCTTAGATCCAGGGCCTGGAGTATGTCCCAACAGGGTAGCCTAGGGCCCCTGAGCTCTCTGCCTCCCAATAGCTTTACACCTAGGAAACTCAGCTCTATTTCCTTAACGATTCGCCAGAACGTCCAAACGCAGCCCCTGGATGCCTCACTTTCTCATTGGGAAGAATTGCCCAATTTGGGCAAGGATGTACTCACCCATGGAGAAGGGAGGTCGTCCACTTCAAGATCACCACCCATGGCCCCAGTGCCAAAGGTCAGGACCTCCTCTGAAGGCCATGGGAACCCAGATCTAACCAAACCCAACAGGACACCCTCAGGGGTTAAGCCCCTGGTGTCTTCACATCTGGCTTTGCCATTCCAATCTCAGTACACTCAGAGTTCAGGCCCTGTGACTCAAGTCCAAACCAGAACCTCTCCAGGAAGAGGTAAGTCCAAGCCCAGGGGTATTCCCAGATCCCGAGCATACCTCCAAAGGGCTACTCCCCCTCCTACAAATTTGTCTGCTGTGGGCACAAAATTAGATATAGCCAGAAATTTAGGCACAATGGCCATCAACAGACCTGAGCTGGCTATCAATATGTCCACACCAAACCCATCCAGAATGGTCAGAGACACTGAACTTCCTATTCTGGGTGCCAAGATGGGCATGGCCGATGACTTACCTATAGCATCCAAGGCAGGAAAAGCCACAGATTCGGTGATAGCAGACCCACCCAAACTAGGCACAGCCATGAATTTAGCTGTAGCAGGGACAACCAAGCCAGGCCAGGTTCTGAATTTGGTAACTGCAGATTCAGACAAGCTGGAAAATGTCATGGTTATGACCATGGAGGATTCAGCCATAGCTTTGGAAATACCGGATCAAATTGATCTGGGCATAACCAGGTTGGACACAGCCATGGCTTTGGCTGGAGTCAATATAGCCAAGCCGGACACAACTACAAATTCTTCTGTGTTGGACACAAGCAGACTGGAAACAGCCATGGATTCGGTTGTGCTGGTCTGCCCAGTCACTGGTGAGACCAAGCTAGACATTGTCAATCACCTGACCATCGCGGACGCTGCAACCTATTCTCAAATGCCAAGCAGAAGCACGGACCCAGGCCAGGACTATGCCGCTGCGGATGCTGCCACAGACAGTGCCACCGAATCTACCTTGCAGGTCCTGGCCAGAGAACCCAAAGGTAAGCGCAAGAACTTGGTTGGGAGGTAGTGTTGCTGGGGGAGCAAGACTGCAACAGTCTCTATAGGTTGGGAAAGAGAATGGAGACTCTAGGGTCGAAATCGAAAGGGTGACAGAAATGGGGACAAGGGTTGAGGGACTGAAGAGAAGCGGTATGCCCCCCCCCCAACCAAGCTACCGGAAGTCAGGCCGAGGAAAGCCACCAGGAGGAAGGCTCACAGCTTAAGCTGTGGAGAAGCAGACTGAGTCCTCTCTTGACCATGACCTATGCTTCTTTTTTAGTTCTCTGAAAAGTCAGGATAATTAGGTGAGTCCAGCTTAAAGGAAAGTCTACGTTTGAGGCCAGTCTGGTCTACAGAGCAAGTTTCAGGACAGCCAGGGCGACACAGAGAAATCCATCTCAAGCAAAACAAAACAAAACAAAACAAAACAAAAAAAAAAAAAACCACAGCCAAAACCAAACAACAACAACAACAACAAAAAGCCTAAGGCACAAAAACACAGGCAAACCCTTCAGTCAGCTGTGACTTACCTACCAGTAGCCTGGTAGCATCTCAGTGCTTCTGTGGGTGGGAGATAATGACCCACCTCAGGTCTCAGGGAGACCCAAATCAAATCACAAATAACTTAGTAGGAGATTTGCTATTTAAAAGGTACATCAGCTGGGTGGTGGTAGCACACACCTTTAATCCCAGCACTTGGGAAGCAGAGGCAGGTGGCTTTTTGTGAGTTTGAGGCCAGCCTGGTCTACAAAGTGAGTTCCAGGACAGGGTCCAAAGCTACACAGAGAAATCCTATCTTGAAAAACCAAAAAAAAAAAAAAAAAAAAAAAAAAAAAGTACAGCCAGGTAAAGGCAGGAGGATAAGAATTTCAAGGCTAGTGTTACCTGGAAATCTTTCTTGGCTGTAGTTCTTTAAAGTTGAAGGAGAAAGAGAGAGAGAGAAAGAGAGAAAGAATCCTACACAGATCTATAAAGAGGTCAGTACAAAGGCTAGAAATCCTGTGGCTGTCTCGGAGAGGTTTGTGGCATACCGGAAGCCACATCAGAGTTAAATGGTGGCAGTACGTGGATTGGAAACTAGACCTGGCCAAATTTCCAAAGCTCAAGTTCTGGGACAGGAAGAGGGCTTGGAGAGTACCCAGTACAGCGCTTGACCAAGCTGGGCTTGTCAAAGCCTTTCTCATCCCTCTCAGCTCACAGCCTAGTCCTCACTCTTGCTGTGTGAGCCGGCTCTCCATCTTCAGCTCCGCTCTTCGGAAATGCAGAAGGCTCCATCTGCTGGGCTCCTCCACCTGGGTATCTCCAGGCCATGTCTAGAGTCAGGGAGCCCTGTTCTTCTACAACAGTGATTCTCGACCCCCATAGGGGTCACAGATCACACATCCTGCATATCAGATATTTACCTTATGATTCATAACAGTGGTAAAATTACAGGTATGAAGTAGCGACGAAACAACTTTATGGTTGAGGGTCATCATGACACGAGGAACTGTACTAAGGGGTTGCAGCCCTAGGCAGGCTGAGAACCACTGCTCTAGAAACGGTTGCTGCCCTCCCCGCTCCCATCTCTCTGCTGCTGGCACCACCCATCTTTGATACAGTGATTAGATCCTCAGGTAATCTGCCGGCCTCATTTTCTTTCTTTTCCATCCCATTCTGTTCGTTATCAATCTGATTTATGCATCTTCTCTGTACTTGACCGGCTGTCACTTCTTCCTTCCTTCATTTTCTTTTCTTTTCTTTTTTTTTTCTTTTCTTTTCTTTTTTTTTTTGAGACAATATATCTATGTATCCCTGGCTGTCCTGGAACTAACTATGGAGACCAGTCTGACCTCAAACACAGATATCCACCCGCCTCTGCCTCCCAAGTGCTGGGGTTAAAGACATGCGCCACCACACCCCACAGCTGTCATCACTTTGTATCCTTCTTCCGTCCTCCACAAAGCTGCCACAGGGACTTAGCTATTTGGTGGCATAATTTTAGAGTCTCATTATTACCACCCCTCAAGCCCACTGCTCAGGCTACCTCTCCATCCTCTTTAGCTGGGGCAGTCCTTGCCTGTGGCCTTTCCGGCCTTAGCCCAAGTCAGCGTCCTGAGGTATCACCTGCACACTGCTGCGCCGCCTCCAGGCTTGGCTGGCCCCGTTGCCCTTTCATTTTTTTTTTCTTCTCTTCATCATTTGCCTATCCATGTCGGCCCTCACCTTCCATTATCCCTCATCTTCCGTTATCTCCATGGCGCCTGTTCGCTTGCACTACACAGCACCTGTGTGAACCAGCTGTCTGATTTCTGTTAGACTCAAAACCTTAAAGGTGAAGAAGGTTTGGTCATCCTTAGCTCTCTGTGCTGCTAGGGTTGACCAACAAGCCATCGTCAACGCATCAAAGATTTTTTTTGCCGGTCTGTAAAGGATGGTCAGGGAAGTTCAAGGTTATAGGGTTCAGCATCCAGGCTGGAAGCTGTGCCTGGAACCCAGTTCTCTGATTCGGAGCTCTGTCAGCAACCGCGCCTGGGCAGGACCGCGGTGAACCAGCGCAATATCCCAATCAACGCGTGACTCACGCACGCGCACCGTCATCGGCAGCTGCCACCGATCTCCTGCGTTCCGGACCCGGTAAGGGGCCAGGGACAGGATCTAGGGAGAGAGACAGAGACTGCGTGCAATGCACGCACCTTCCCGGGCTGGGCAACCCGAGCTTCGGTACCTGCTGCTGCGTGCTGGCGGGGGAGCCGCGGGAAGGGGAGGGGCCCTCGGCGGGGCCGGCAAGCGCGCGGGTCACGTGGTGCCGGTGGC